CCACTGCTGTAATTTCTCTTCTTGTTCTTTCTTTTCCTCCACAACTGCTGTAATCTCTCTTCTTGTTTATTTTCTCGTTCTTCTTGTTTCTTTTCTTTTTCCTCCAATAGCTGCTGTAATCTCTGTTCTTGTTTATTTTGTTGTTCGAGCTGCCACTGTTGCAGGTTTTCTTGCAACTGCTGTTGTATTTCTTCTTGTTTCTTTTCTCGTTCTTCTTGCTTCTTTTGCTACTCTTGTATTGCTGCCATCAAGTCTGCTAAGCTGTAGTTTGATTTGCCGCTTCTCGTTTCGATTTCTGTTTTTTTGTCCCACTCTCTGACTCCAATTTGTTATGTTTCCTTTCGTTAGTTAATTTTCCGTAAATTCGTTCCCACGAAACTTTAGCGACACAAGTCCTTTCTTAAATAAAACTGGTTTATTCTTTTTTAATATAACTTTGCGATACACTTAATTTCAACAGTCGCGCTATAATTCTCAACGAAAGTCTCACGTGCTCGACTTCAACAATACTCAGTTCAATTACACACTCTCTGACTGCAGTTCAATTACTCATTGTTCCGTCACGTTGTGACCATCTTATATATACTAGACTACCCCAATCTAGTAGTCTCCCGATAATTCACGAAGGAACAGGATATTTCTAGAAGGAGGTGGCGTGATACTAGTCCTTTATTTTAAAGGAACTGGATTGTGTGTAGTTTGTTTATCATTGAAATTTATCGCCAACAAGTCACAGACATCTACTGTAAATAATCGTGGCTCTAGAAAACTTGACAACTCAAGGTCGTAAACATGTGCCAATTCTTTTACACAAGTAAAAATTACACATAGCTGTGGTCTTTGTTCTTAAATCTCAAGCTAGAGTTTATGTGTTTCTTTATGGACTTCTTGAAAGGTAACTTATTCAAACAATTATTACATAAACCTATAAACCTGGTTTAGTTTAAGATTTATATAGACCATTGATAGAAGTGTGTGACCTGTGGACATGTGGGATTCCTCTCTCCATTGTTTTGAGTCCTGAACTTCAGCAGGCTGACAATACAGAAGAAAACAACTGGCCAGTTTAGGTGCCATAACACTGTGTTCTTAAATATAAAATTCCGTGTTTCACTGTACACTTGTGTTTGTTGTTTTCCTTTTCTCACAATGAACAATTTAATCTTTGCTTAACAGTACAAAATCTACATCTTGGTCATCTGCTAGACACTAGTAGACCGAATACCACATTTTCTTTTTTCCCTTTCCTGAATCTGATGCTTATAACATTACTTGTTAGAAGTCAAGTACTAAATACCTCCAACACCTGTACATTTAAAATGCTTTTGAAATTCATCATCAGTAAAGAAATTTTGTGACTGCACAAACTAGAATTTATATTATTGTGTATAGTTTTATTAAAGGATGAGCTTTGACCAGGGAAAATTATTTTTTGAGAGTGACTATAGGACAAGTTCTGAGATGTTCAGATGTAGTTTGGTCACCCTTTTGCATATTTTAAAGTCGTTTTGTTTGTTTGTTGTTAAGCCCAAAGCTACACAGTGGGCTATCTGTGACCTTCACTGGTACCAAAGTCCGTTTTTTAGCATTATAAGTCTTCAGACTTACTGCTGAGCCTTTGGGGGGCAGGTTTAGGGTCACTGTCGTGACATTGATAAGCTTCAGATGCTGTACAATAGGTGGCACTGAGAAAAATGAAAACTCTTTAAATTTTTCTGTCACTTTAGTAAATTTCAACCTATGGTATTGTTACGTCTCCGTTTGTTAATTAACT